CCACACCTGGGGTGGATTACACCAAAATTATAAATTATGTGGTTCAATACCAGGAAAAAGGAAGCGCCCACTTACCTCCAAGACGATGGGTTGCGTGGTCTCCGACGGGCGTAATGTGAGGCGGCTGGACCCTGCTTTGCCGGCATTCCAGAAAGCGCACGTCACAATTGTAGTTTTTACGATTGTCCCGAATATTTTAATAATAATTAAAGAAAAGTATTGACACACATCTTGACAGGTTTTTTAAGGAAGAGAGTATGACACGTTTTACACGAAAGGCACCATAAACAATGTTTGTTCCGGTAACCAGCCAGTGCCCTCAGCCTCGGCGACATCAATCCCACAGATAAGTGGGTGCGAGTTTTCCTGGTATATCGCCACACATAATAATATAGAAACATAATTTTAACAAATAAACTAAAACCATTCTTATGGCGCTCAACCAATATCAAAAATGTAATTGATTTGATTGAATAAATGAATAAAAAAAAATTACTTTATTAAATAATAGCGTTAACTTCAGTTTTTTGATAATCCCTCAGGAACTAGCAAAAATCCGTTCAGCGTGATTGAGTAACGAACATTATTATCAGCCTATTAATCTCCCCACTGCTGGGGCACAGGCCCAGGCCTTCCCTATGGATGGAATAGGGAGCCACTGGGCCATGACAGTTACGTTACCCAACAGCTGCACCTTCTATACGTTTTATACTTAAATTCAGGACACCATTTTCTTATTATCTTGATGTTGCAACATTTAATTAAAAATATTTATTTAAAAATTAATCAAAAATAGTCTGCCCAGAAAATTTTTTCGGCAAACCACTTTTAATATGTTTTCTTATATACTAAATTCATGATAAAATATGTTTCATTCTATTATTAGCTCTGTGAAGCTCGATGTAGGTTCGGATCTTAGACAAATCCTTTTTTGTTCGATGCGGAAACATGGGGCAATCCAAGATTGAAATATGGAATAAATTTTCATTTGTAATATACGTATACGTATTTCAATCTTGACCCCGCCCGATTTACATATTTATGAACCAGATAGAATTTTTACTCTAACTGTCGCCGCAGACGGGCCACCGACCACAACCACAAAACGCTGCCACCGGCATATTTTTTGTAGTTTTCATACATTTTATATGGACTCGCCACACACGGTACGCCGGTGGCCGCCACTCGCTACAAACCGTCGTTGCTCGCTTCTTGTGGCCCGCACCGGCCACTTAATGCGCCGATACAAAACGCCGCGCCGCCACACGTCACTGGCGCGATTCCCCACCCCTCTCTCCCTTACCTTAGTCGGCCGCTGTCGCGCGCTTCAGCCACTTTAGTAGCCGCTTCTAGCTCCTCGTGGCGGCGTTTGTGGCTGTGGCGTGTGGCCCGTGTGCGGCGACACTTAAGTTCCATTTTCAATGTTGAAGTAGGTTTTAATTTTCTGATTTAAAATTAATATCTTATTGCCTTTGGTGGACATTCAAAGGTACTTAATTTACATGAAGGTTCGCTTGCAGAATCATTTATTTACAAGACATTAACTCTAAAACGTGGCGTATTGTCGTCAAGCTTTGTCTTCGCTCTCATTTATTGACATTGTTTTCAGTTGTTTGCGCTAATAAAAGCTCTTTATTCACTACTCCAGTTCTGTAGTTTAAATTCAGCTGGTTCAAGTGCCGTTTACAGTGTAAACGTTAATTCTATATTTATTACGGCTTCGTTGGGTCATCTAGCGACTCCGTTTTAATTCCAGTTTCTTTGTGATTTGCAACAGGTAACAAACAACTTTTAAAAATTAAGAATGGAGATACTTAATAAAATACTCTTCTATAACTGAAGATTATGAGTTTGCGGCGTTAGCTTTCGAGACGTTAGGGTCGTGGTTCGCTGACATGAAGCGGTTTATGAAGGACTAGTGGCCCGCCCTCGCTTCGCTTCGGTGTAGAGCTGTAGTTTAGACTATATTTTTGTTCTCAAGCTTCTATTAAACACAATGACTTTCTTTAAATACCTAATTACTAAAGACACGCGCCGCCGCCGGCCCCCCGGCCAGTACTGCCCGAACCGGTATGTTCCTGCATTTTAAATCTGTAATATCTTCGAAAATATTCATTTAAATTACATGCTGTAGAGGGTTATATTGATCTATATTACACGCACAATGTATTTAAGGTACTTAATTGGATAAGGATTAATGCTGTATTGCTTAAAATCGCTTGTTCGTAAATAAGCCATTATTTTCTCGTAATATGTAATTAAAAAATGGTTATTGTGGGTTATACCAAAGAGATAGGCATATACCATTGCGGACTTTTTTGTAGACCTTTTTAAGGTGTACAATACTGTAGTACATTATTTTGATCTAACTCGTTGGGTTCAGCCAGCGTTTGCAATGTAAGCGCAAAAAATGTGTTTATTTACGACCTTATATTAAAAACCTCTAAAATTATCAGTGTTTCTCTACTATATTATGCATGTATTATACATATAAACCTTCCTCTTGAATCACTCTATCTATTAAAAAAACCGCATCAAAATCCGTTGCGTAGTTTCAAAGATTTAAGCATACAAAGGGACATAGGGACAGAGAAAGCGACTTTGTTTTATACTATGTAGTGATATGTCGAATCGATTGATTCTCTCTTCGGGTGATCAGAGGGCTGGCAGCTATATCGCGCAGAGAATCAATTTAGCCATTCAGCGAGGTAATGCTGCTAGTGTTCTGGGTACCAAGCCTCAAATTGGAATTTTGGATGACATATTCTTCTTGTGAATATGTATATTAATATTTTAGAGTTAATTTTTAATGCTAAGTTTTTAGTTTGATATTGTTGTGACGTAATTATAGTTATTTCTTAAGAATGGAGATCTGTAAATAACAAAGTTCATGAAATCTAGCCTAGACAGAATAACGGATGAGGCATCATGTTTTTATAAGATTGGAGATCATAACTTTGTAGTTTGATTACGGTTTAAATCTAAAAAAAATATTTTACTAGAAAAAGTTCCACGCGGCCAGGCAGCAGACGTATTATTATATGTATCTGCAGCAAATGTATTTAAAAACGTTTGTTTTACAAAAGTGTTCGAATTTAAGTCAAGTTTTCATTTAGGCATTTGAGAAAAATGTTACTTATAATTTTTATTATTTTAAAGCATGCAATTGCTTGATGTTTAAATCTAAAGAAAATATAACTAGAAAAAATTCCACGCGAACACAGGCAGCAGAGGTGCCTGGGTGCGGGTTCGAGTCCAGTCCAGTCCGAGAGATGGCGCTGCCTTGCAGCTTAAGAATGGCTAGAAGAATTTCGACGCGTTCCGTGAGGGCCGCGGTAGCATAATTGGTCAGTGATGGCGAAGGGTGCGGGTTCGAGTCCCGTCTGCTGCCTGGCCCGCGTGGATTTTTTTCTGGTTATATTTCCTTTAAAAATGTTACTCTTAGAACGGTACCTTGGAATATAAATAGTTACCAAGCCACATAAATATTTTTGCATCGCATACACAAACGTTTAAAGGTGTGTATTTGTTTTGAAGATCCAGAAATTTTGTTTCTAAAAAAAAAGTACCTAAGTACCTACAATGTGAAGAGATGGCGCTGCCTTGCAGATTAAGGCTCGAGAAAATTCGACACGGCCGTCAGGGCCGCGGTAGTATAATGGTCAGTGTTTTCGCCCGATAGCGAAGGGTCCGTATGGTGCCTGGACCGCGTGGAAATTTTTCTAGTAAAATTTTCTTTAGATTTAAACATCTAAGCGTTTAAATGCTTTAAAAATCCAAACGTAGGTAGGTATAAAAATAAAGTTTTATTAGAAAGTATTATTCAACACAACACAGACTTTAGTCACGGTAATATTATAATGGTAATATATAATATTACCGTGACTAAAGTCTGTCTTGTGTTAAATAATACTTTTTGAAGTTACACTTCTTTAGGCGCGTTATGAAAAAATGATGAGAGTGAAATTTTAAGATGCGCGCGCATCACTGTAACACAAAATTTTACTTTTGTGTTTACCGCACATTAAGAAAATCTACTAACAAAATAAAATCTCTATTTAGTAGTGGGTGCTAACGACTGCGTTGTGAAGGCCTATCAAAAGTATTTATTAATCTGGAACAACGGAACCAAAGCGCGATTCAGGAGACTACAGCGCCATCTCTTGACCATTGGTGTAGTAGAACCAAAAACCACATCTTTATTTTTTGTAATAAAGTAACAGTTATAGGTATTCATATTTATAATATTTATCCACATGTTTCTAGTTTGTATATTCGGAATACGTGTTTGAGTTTCATACAAGTGCAAATCACATAATATGTTCTAATAAATTATATTCAGTAGCGATTGAATATGATTATTTATTTATTTTTTCAAATTAAAACTGAACTTTATTGACTGTGTCCTTTTCCAGACTTTTTATTAAATTATTGTAATTAATTATTTGCATGCAATTAAAAACTAATTTTAAACGATGCCAAAGAAGGATAACTTCTCACGCGCCTACATAAGTACACGCACCCATTTTTTTTGAATAATAGATAATATTACCGTGCTTTAGTCGAGTTGAATTATTTCAAGCAAAAATTTCTTTAGTCACCTCTCTATTTGTTCTCTTTGTATCATCCCGCCTAATTAATGTTAATTAACGTTAATATTTATCAGCAGATTTTATTGATTCATCATCAGCCTATTAATGTCCCCACTGCTGGGGCACAGGCCTGCCCTATGGAGGGAATAGGGAGATTGGGCCATGACCCACCACGCTAGCCCAGTGCGGATTGATGGGTGCTAACGACTGCAGATGCAGCCGGGACCAACGGCTTAACGTGCCTTCCGAAGCACGGAGGAGCTTGAGATGGTAAATTTTTGGTCACCCATCCAATGACCGACCACTGCGAAAGTTGCTTAGCTTCAACGATCGCAGCCGAACGCGCTAACCACTTGCGCCATCAAGCTCCTTATTTATTAATCAAGTTTATTTATTTATTTCTTACAGTCGAATCACGTGTACACACTCAGCGTTTCTTGCTCCGATGCGGTCCACAACGTTGGCGTCCGACGGCGACAAGACGGCAGGCTGGCGCTAGGCTTCTCTAGGAGAGGGGAGAGGAGTTTCTCCAGCGTGCCGTCTCTCCTGCGCTACCACAAGAGACGCAGGCTACTCTTAGTAGCGGCTGGAGGAGTCTTGGGAGCGACCACGCTGAATGAAACTCCGCATTATTATCAAACGCCTAGCAATATTCCATTAGCAAAAACTTAGTTTAGCGATAAAGCTATGAGTGCTTTGAAGGCGTTACTGTTTTTTTTAAGTTAAACGATATCAAGTGAACTTCTTAAGTAAGAAATAATAAATATAATAATAAATAAATATTACCAACACTCATACCAATTAGCCTTGCCCCAAAGTAAGCACTGTAAGGCTTGTGTTATGGGATACTAGGGTAACGGATAGAATACATATATAAGTATATTTATATAGAAATACATATTAAACATCCATGACTGGAGTACAAATGCCAATCCCACAAAAAATTCATCACACAAACATCTGCCCCCACCGGGATTCGAACCCGGGACCTCTCGAGTCGGCGACACCATGAAACCTGGCGTACAAACCACTCGTCCACGGAGGTCGTCATTGAACAATTCCTTTTAATTAATGAGGTGAATAAAAAATCTTCTTTATTCGCACTATTTTAAATATTTCGTCGATTTATGACGCCAGTGCACTGGCCTGTATATTTTGGAACAATTCACCAGTATAGCGTCGATTCATGACGTTATTAGCACTGGCCGGTATACTGGTATATATTACAGAATACACCCTAAGTCTCGAAAAAAAGCTACCAACAAAATAGAAATAGAATCTCTATTAGTCGCGCATGTTGGCACGCTCATCGCCTCTGATCACTGTTTTCATATTTATAATATTTATCCACATATTTCTAGTTTCTATATTCATTCGTGTTTTAGTTTCATACAAGTGCGAATCATATATGTGCTAATAAATTATATTCAGTAGTGATTTAAATTGAATATTTTGATTATTTAATTAATTTTTCTAATTAAAACTGAACTTTATTGACTGTGTTGAGTATCCTTTTCCATTCCTTTTATTATGTTATTGTAATTAATTATTTGCATGCAATTAAAAACTGCATATTTTTTTTTGTATTAACATCTTAGATTAAATGAAAAGATTGACACAGATTAATATTTAGGTAGGTACCTATGTACAATACATTTTTATTTTTGGCAATATTACTTTATTATTTAAACATGTTCATTTATAATAAACGATATGTATAATTATGCTAGTATTAATAATTCACTATTATGTAGAAAAATATTGGTTACAATATAACATATCAATAAATTAATGATATATATTTCTTTATCTGGACTACAATATTGTTTACTGAGTATAGACCTTTTAGAAAGACTTATTGAGACTTTTATCATATAATAAACTTAGATTAAAACAAAAAGGGTAGATACGGTACGCTCATACTTGCATCAAACAAAAACTGATTCCACGGCAGAGCGAACGAGACGGCGCGATCCGCGACACTGCATTACCGACCAATCACGCGACCAGTACTCGACGTCACCACCGAATAAGATTCAAAACAAACAATTTTTATGAAAAAATATATTTTATAGTACTTACGAATGAAAAGTGATGCCGTGGGTTTTATTTTTAGTTCCTGAGCAATTTGATCACTTTTTAAAAACACACTTAGGCATTGTTTTATCATATAAACACAAAATATTAGCAATATTTCTTTTTGGCGTTCACATGTACGTCGTTTGCATGTCAAGTTGTGACTAAAGCGATTAGGGTCGTGGACCACAATTCATGCGGATCACTTTGGTGAGGCTAGTGCCGTATCTACCCTTTTTGTTTTAATCTAAGATAATAAATAGGTATTTCTTGTATGATATTATGAGCAGCTGTGCTTATTCTGTTTTAAGCGTACAGTGTGGGATGCTTTTAAAAAGCTTACAATGTCATTAACTTCTTTGATAAAGAAAACAAAAAATACCTACCCTTTGATTACTTTGAGAAAAAAATGATGACCATCCTATTAGTGTCCCCATTGCTGAGGCACAGGCCTTCCTTATGGATGGAATAGGGAGATTGGGCCATGACCCACCACGCGGGCACAATGTGAATTAGTGGGTGCTAACGACTGCAGATGCAGCCGGGACCAACGGCTTAACGTGCCTTCCGAATCACGGAGGAGCTCGAGATAGTAAATTTTGGATCACCCATCCAATGACCGACCACTTATGCTCTAATTTTACTTAGCTAAGTTAGAAAATACCTAAGTTTGGATCGCTTAATGTTACCGTGTCCCGGTTTCGTACAAATCCCGCGGCGCAAACAGAACACAACATCTTTCATTTCCACTAAAGTTACCTAAGTTAAGTTAGTGCGAATATCAAAGTCGATATATCATTAAGTTATGTTTGGAGGCCCGCGGGTAGATTTGTGATTCCCATCGGTGTCCCATAGACGGCTATTAGAGATAAGCGATAAATAACGTGGAAGATTCATGGGGTCGACCGACACCGTTGTTGTTGTCGAGAAAATGGTAAAGTTAAGTATTTGAGAGAATGTAAACAATATGATACATAAGAAAACATACGAAGTTCATGAAATTATGGGATTATTTTTAAAGTGAAAACTTCGCTCATCATCAGCCCATCAATGTCCCCACTGCTGGGGCACAGGCCTTCCCTATGGATGGAACAGGGAGATTGGGCCACGACCCACCACGCTGGCCCAGTGCGGATTGGTGGGTGCTAACGACTGCAGATGCAGCCGGGACCAACGGCTTAACGTGCCTTCCGAAGCACGGAGGAACTCGAGATAATAAATTTTTGGTCACCCATCCAATGACCGACCAGTGCGAAAGCTGCTCAACTTCAACGATCGCAGCCGATCGCGCTAACCACTTGCGCCATCGAGCTCCTCAAACGAAAACTTCGTTACGTAACGCGTTACGGCTCTAGTCTGTCTGGCTTTCCTTCCCCTCACGTTTACGGCAGCGGTAGACAGGCTTTTCTCTCACTGTAACTAGGGTTGCCCGAAGTGCCCCAAGGTGCCCATCTAAGGAAGACCGGAGCACACTGTGCTTTAAGTGTGGGAAAGCGGAGCACAAGGCGGCGGAATGAAAGAAAGAAAGAAAGAAAAAGCATTTTATTGACAAAAAATAAAGATGTGGTTTTTGGTTCTACTACACCAATGGTCAAGAGATGGCGCTGTAGTCTCCTGAATCGCGCTTTGGTTCCGTTGTTCCAGATTAATAAATACTTTTGATAGGCCTTCGCAATGCAGTCGTTAGCACCCACTAAATAGGGATTCTATTTCTATTTTGTTGGTAGATTTTCTTAATGTGCGGTAAACACAAAAGTAACGCATGAAGTTCTTCATGCTGTTAAAATTTTGTGTTACAGTGATGCGCGCGCATCTTAAAATTTCACTCTCATCATTTTTTCATAACGCGCCTAAAGAAGTATAACTTCAAAAAAAGAGAACTAAATACTAGGTCGTAGTGCGTGCCGTGCGAGGCCAACAGCTCGCTGGCTCAGCTATGTTCTGTGTCAGTCGCTTTCGTGATACCACAGTAGCGCTGATTTTCAGCCAGCGCCATATGGTAAGGGTGATATGCGAAAGACGGAACAAGCAAAACAATCACTTATGTAACTAATTCTGGACAAATAACTCTATTTCTCGGGGAGCTCGATGGCGCAAGTGGTTAGCGCGTTCGGCTGCGATCGTTGAAGTTAAGCAACTTTCGCAGTCATTGGATGGGTGACCAAAAATTTAATATCTCGAGCTCCTCCGTGCTTCGGAAGGCACGCTAAGCCGTTGGTCCCGGCTGCATCTGCAGTCGTTAACACCCACCAATGCGCACTGGGCCCGCGTGGTGGGTCATGGCCCAATCTCCCTATTCCATTCATAGGGAAGGCCTGTGCCCCAGCAGTGGGGACATTAATAGGCTGATGATGATGATGATGAACTCTATTTCTACTTATAACTACTACACTATACTATAACGCCGGCCCTCCACACAGCCACCCGTAAACCGAACGACAGTCCCCCCCTATCAGTCGCCATAACCACTGATAAGGACAGCCTGCCGTCCAATCCGATTGACACATCGCAAGCGAGAGTGACTGTGGGAGCGCTAGCTTAATGCGCTGCCAAGTCTCGCTGCGCCATATGCGCAGAGAGTGACCGACCGGCGGACCATGTCATGGGGAGGGGGATATACCCGCCGGTCACTAAGGGCAGACCCCCCGAGAAGAGGGCGCCCTCAGAGGGGGGGATGTCCGAGTAGCCTCGGCCGCTCGGACCCCCCATGAATGCTGTTGCGCGTGTTTCCCCCCTCTTCTCCTAGGACAGGGAAGGCGAACCAATGGCACGCGTGCCATTGGTGGCACGCGACACAATAATTTGGGCACGTCGCCAATCATAAAACATGTGTAAAAAATGTTTTAAGTAGGTATTTTATGACGATCGAACGCGAGTGATCCTACGCTACGAAGTAACTGTTTGAAGAAGTTAGCACATGCTATTTTAACAATGTTTTCATCTACCTATGCCTGCGAGTCATTGTTTTCAGAGATGAATAACATTAAAAACTCGTTTAGAAACCGTTTGACAGATGAATCCAGTTCAGCATGCATTTTGCTAAAAGTAGCATCTTACAACCCTAACATAAATTATTTGTTATCAAACCTGCAGCAACAGAAGTCACACTAATTTTACAGTAATTTAATTTATGCATGTAATAAAAACATTCCAGAATTATTATCTTCTAAATAATCATAAAGTCAAAATTATTTGATGGCATGCCAATGACCCAATTAAAGATTTTTTAGAAAAAATGGCACGTTGATTCATAAAGGTTCGCCTACCCTACTAGGAGAAGACACGAGGAGACGCGGGCGACCGGGAGAGGGACGGGAAGAACTACGCTTCCCCTCCTGTTCCCCCGTCCCAGGAACGGCGGCCCCCCTCTTGTAGTTTTGTCCTACAAAGGGGGGGGCGGCGGAGGGTTATTGGACAGACACAAGAAGCCCTTCCGCAGCGGACGGGGGGCGGTACAGTGGGCACTAGGCCGCGTACTCAGCCCCCACGCGCGGACCTACCTGCGCACGTCTGCGGGGTCCCCGTAATACCGCGGGAGACCCCTGCCGTGGAGCCCCGGCGAGGCCGGGAAGCTGCTGGGGGCGGAGTCGTGGTAGAATCCCTTACGGGGACCCCGCGGCTTCGCGTTAAGCAGTGTAGAAGGTATTCGCAGGACTATTTTAGCGGATATTATGCTTTAAAGCGCCCGTAAGAGTTGCGGGGTCCTCGGTGGTCAGCCACTGGGGGTCCGTAAGACTTGCGGGAGCCAGGTGTGAGGTCCGTTCGGCGGTGTGCCTCTTAAAGGCGCCGTCGTCTGTAAAAAGATTTTTTACCTGCGTTATAAAAAAAAGTGGGTTGCCACCCGTACTTTATTATCATCATTATCAGCCTATTGGCAGTGGGGACACCCACTGCTGGGGCACAGGCCTTCCCTATGGATGGAATAGGGAGATTGGGCCATGACCCACCACGCGGGCCCAGTGCGGGTGCTAACGACTGCAAATGCAGCCGGGACCAACGGCTTAACGTGCCTTCCGAAGCACGGAGGAGTTCGAGATAGTAAATTTTTGGTCACCCATCCAATGACCGACCACTGCGAAAGTTGCTTAACTTCAACGATCGCAGCCGAACGCGCTAACCACTTGCACCATCGAGCTCCTCAATATATCTCTCTTATGCCAACAATAAAGTACGCGAAAATATTTTATTTAATGTGATTTGATTACTTGGGGATTAATTTTACATAAATATACAAAAAGAGGATAGGAAGAAGTTTTGCGTAAAACGGAACAACAGTATGTATAATATATCGAGCTTAGCTCATTCCTGCATCGTCCAATCCGCACTTAGCCCGCGTGGTGGGTCACGGCTCAGTCTCGGTCTGTGGCCCAGCAGTGAGGAAATTAATAGGCTGATGATGATGATGATGATACTTAAGGTAGCAAGGCCGTGCCACCACCTCTTCTTATTGCAGCTACAGTAAGGTTAAACAATTCACAGATCTTGTGCTCTGCACTACTTAAAAGCGCATTGAAAATGTATCTGCCTATTATAGATTATTAAAAAAAAACATAAAAAAAAACTAACTTTTCCAAAATAATTTTTACATCTTCTTAAATCCCTTGAAATTCCGCGTCGTTTGAGGGCTCATAAGTCCTCGTGGCCCTAAGCCTCAGGGTATCACGGGCGAGTCGCACTTTCAGCGAAAATGGGGGGACTACTGAAGCGAACGAAAAAAATATTTTATAGCACAGTGTGACCTAAACCCGCACTTTACGCACGCTTTTCCGTGACCTAAGTTGCCTATTTCTGCACGGTGTGTAAATGAATTGACCAACTTCACTCATGTAGAAAAAATAAAAGGAAACACATTTAAATGTCATTTGGAGCTTAAAAACTCACAGCAAACAAATGACAAATTAGCGATAGGTTAGGAATTTTCAAAACGTTCATGGATACATTGAAATTCTATTTTGTTGTAATGATATTTGATTTTTTCCTTTTGAAATATACACACATCAAAAGTGTCTAGGGATCAACATATATTTTTGCAATAACTTTTCTCCTGATTGATATTAATTAAAATTTTCTTTAAGGATTCATCAAAAAAGTGTTTTCGTTTGTCACAGTAACGATAAACCAAGTCACCTTTGCATTAATAAAGAAATTTGCCATTTTCCTAATAAAGGGATTTTTGACATTTGAACCACTAACACAAAAGTTCGAAAAAAAGACTGAAATAACAGTTTTCTCTAAAATTTTATTGGGTAACTTAAACAATTAATAATCCGTATTTCTACCGCGAACACTAACAACACAAGAACATCGGTTTGGCATACTCAAAATGAGTTCATCCAAATCACGCTGTGGAATGGCCGCCCATGTTCGTTGCAACAACAAAAAAAGGTCTTCTTGCGACTGGATACCCTCCATATTCGGCAGAGCTCTTCTCTGTAGCATATCCCATGCATGCTCAATCGGGTTCAAGTCTGGCGACTGAGCAGGCCAGGGCAGGACATTGATGTTAGCTGCGGCGAGAGTCTGTCTTACAACTCTTGCGGTGTGCGGTCGTGCATTATCATGCATTAACTGAAATAAGGGACCGATTTGCACTTGTAGAGGAACGATGACGTCTGATACAATCGTCTCAGCATAAATTTGAGCGTTGAGGTTGCCTCTGATCCAAATCAACTCAGTTCTTCCGCCGATCCAAATACCCGCCCATACCATGATGGTTCCACCACTATAAGGATGGACTTCCTGGCAGGATTTTAATCGCTGTTGGCGTCCAGGGGTTCTCCAGTGTCGTATACGTCTTGTATCCGGTCTCATACCAAAACGAGACTCATCAGAAAAGCACACGAAACGCCATTGTTCTTCTGCCCAATTTCTGTGTTCAAGAGCCCATTGATATCGAATCCTACGATTGTGCATTGCTATAGGTGGTACCC